CAGAAATCTGCCTGCCTCTGCCTCCCGAGTGCTAGGATTAAAGGCGTGCGCCACCACCGCCCAGCTACAACAATGACCGTTTTTAAAAAAGAGTCTAAATCAGGCGTTGGTGGTGCATACCTTTAATCCCAGCACTCGGAGGCAGAGGCAGGTGGATCTCTGTGAATTCCAGGCCGCCCTAGTCTTCAAAGAGAGTTCCAGGACAGTCTCCAAACCTACAGAGAAACCCTGTCTCAAAAAACCATAAATAAATAAATAAATAAAGACTAAAGGTTTTCAGCACATAGAAATGACAAATCTTTTCAAAGATGTAAATTCACTGGGCAGTGATGGCGCATGCCTTTAATCCCAGCACAAGGACGGCTGAGGCAAGTGAATGTCTGAGTAGTTTGAGACCAACCTGGTCTACAGAGATAGTTCCAGGACTGCCAGGGATACACAGAGAAACAAAGGAGGAGGAGGAAATGCTAATTGCCCAGATTTGATCATTTCACTTTATACACATATACCAAATTACCATCACTGAAACCAAAAATATATAAAATTGTGCCAATGTAAAGTACCTAGAAACAGTATTTCCGGCCAGTGAGATGGCTTCATAGGTAAAGGCCCAGGCTACCAACCCTGACAACCAGAATTTGATCCCAAGGCCCACATGACTGAAAGAGAGAGTCCTACAAGTCGTCCTCTGATCATCATATGCATGACACACAGACAGACAATTATAGATAAATCAGATACAATAAAAAGATATTTTTCCCAGAATGCCTCGAGGGATTTAGCTATGGACATATCTACACTTTTATTCTATTCGGTTTTTTGAGTCAGGATTTCTCTGTTAACAGCCTTAGCTGTTCTGTAGACTATGCAGGCCTACTAAATGCTAGGATTTCATGCCTCTATATCATGTGTAATGTGTCTCACTTCTCCTTTCTAATTTTGTTATAAAGATTTATTTGTATTATTTATGTGATGTGTGCTAAAAGTGCCCATGGAGTCCAGAAGTCCAAGCTGACCTTGAACTCACAGAGATCTGCCTGCCTCTGATAAGAAATATGGGTCACCATTTCTGTCATACAATTTTTTAAATCTTTTTTTTGTTTTAACTTTTTTGTTTTTATTTTTAGAGACAGTTTCTTTGTGTAGTCTTGACTATCCTAGAACTAGTTCTGTAGACCAGGCTGTCTTTGAACTCACAGAGATCTGCCTGCCTCTTGGTCCCCAGTGCTAGGATTAAAGGCATGTGTCACCACCACCTGACTTTAATTTTTTGATTTATGTGTATAGGTTTTGTGTGTGTGTGTGTGTGTGTGTGTGTGTGTGTGTGTGTGTGTGTGTACCATATTCTTGTTTTGTGCCCATGGAAGTCAGACAACTGTGTCAGATCCCCTGGAACTGGAGTTATAGACAGTTGTGAGCTGCCATGTGGGTGCTGGGAATCAAGCTTGGGTTCTGGAGGAGCAGCAGCCAGTGCTCTTAACCATTGAGTCATCTCTCCAGCCCCACAATTATTTTAAAAGTCATAATCAGAAGCACAGCTCTGCTCCTACCTTATTTAAGTGGAAGCAGTCTGCCAAGAGGAGAGACAAATGGTGGCAACAGCTACACGGCACAGATGTCGTCTCTATGCCACTGGCCTGTACCCCAGAGAATGATGGTTCCAATTGGATTTTTTATTGCTTTAAATTTAAATTTTAAGGTTCATTTTTAGTTACATGTGTATGTAGTTACATGTATTTAGTTACATGTGTCTGTATGTGGCTATGTACATGAGTTCAGGTGCCCTCAGAGACCAGAGGCATGAAATCCTTAGAGCTGGAGTTACAAATGGGTGTGAGCCACCAGACTTGGGTACTGAGAACTGAACTGGAGTCCCCTGGAACATCTATATGTGCTCCTAAACACTGAGCCATCCCTCCAGCTCCTGTGGTAGTTTTTATTTTATTATGATTGTTGGGAAAAGATTGAAGGGGACCCCCACCCCCAGCAAAGCAGGGGCTTCCTCCCTGAGCCTGAATTAGGCACAAACCACAGCCAAACATTTTTTTTTCCTACAAAGAGATCCTTTATTAAGTGGTGAAGAAAAGTTAAAGTGGCTGCTTTCTGACTCAGGCAGAAAACAGCAGCAAATGACATTGGAGATGTAATTTTTAAAAAGAGAAAGAGGGAGCCGGGCAGTATTGGCACATGCCTGTAATCCCAGCGCTTGGGAGGCAGAGGCAGGTGGATCTCTGTGAGTTCGAGACCCCTGGTCTACAAGAGCTAGTTCCAGGACACCCTCCAAAGCCACAGAGAAACGCTGCTTTAACCTCCCCCACTCCCAAAAAAAAGAAGAGGAGGAAGAGGGGAGGTCTGTGTTAGAATGGACTAGGAGGTGGTGGTATATTTTAACTGGGCATGTTAATTAGAATGTCCACAAGGAGGCTTTGGATTGCTGGACTTCAATACTTTGATAGCTAGACCCTGGTAGTCAGTCTCAGAAGGAGGAAGTATCCAAATAAGGGAATAGACCTTGGAGGCTAGCTTTAGGGATGTACTCTGACAGTTTTTAGTAGACAGAGGGAGTGGGGAGAAGGGCGAGGCCTGCCAGAGCCATGCTCACACTTGAGCTGGCCAGAGTCCCTTCAGAGGTAGATAGAGAACACCTGCCATGGGAGATGTGTGGAGATCAGAGGACAACTTTGGTGACTCTTTCCTCTTTCCTCCATGGGTTGCAGTTCTAGAAATCGAACTCAAGTCACCAGGTTTTATGCATAGGGCATTGTCTCCAAAGAACAAAAACAAAACCTTATGTATAATTTACAACTCTCTCTCAAATTGCCAAAAACATTAAGAAAAAGGGAAAAGAGTCCAGGTGTGATGGATGGCTCACTCCAGTAAACCTGGCCACTCCAAAGGATTAGACAGGACAGCCAGTGTGGCTCCGATTGCTAAGCCTGATGACTTGAGTTCAGTCCCCCAGATCACTTGGTGGAAGGAGGGAACTGACTCCTTCCAAGTTGTCCTCTGACTGCCACATGTTGACCCCATAAATAAATGAATAAATGCAAATTTTTAAAATAATTCTAAACCAAAAATAAACAGAAAAGCCATGCCTTAACGATAGCTGCTCGCTAGCCTGTGCAGGGCCTGTGTCCATCCACAGCATTGCAAGAGAAAGGAGAAAGACATACCAGGACCCAAACCGTAAAATATAATCAAGTTAGATTAGTGAGACAATGTGTCAGGACTGTAGTTCTTTAGCAAGACAATATTCCAGGAATGCAAGGTGCTGGACGTTTGAAACCAGCCAATGAGATCCAGCATAAATCCAACTAGGAAGCTTGGTTTGTCGTCATCGTCCCCAACGCCTTGGATCCCGCGCCACCTCCACGCCCCACCCCCTCGAGGGCACTTGGTGCAAAGGACCCCCAGTCGCCCGGTGCTGCCGGTTACAGGAGCGTCTCTCCACCGCCTGGTCATATGTTACAAAAACCAAGGAGCAGGAGCCGCCCTGGTGCCCAGCCGGAGAGTGGCACCTCTTGGGAGGTCCCTAGTAGGTCCGGACACCCCGATGCCAAGCAGGACACCACTGGCACCTTGTCATCGAGCTCCCGCCTGGTCCAGGCCACCCCTGCTCCGGAACTCCGGACCCAGAAGCAGCTGGAACTGAAGGTGGCAGAGCTGGTGCAGTTCTTGCTGATAAAGGACCAGAGGAAGATCCCCATCAAACGGACCGGTATCCTGAAGCATGTCATCCGAGACTACAAGGACATCTTCCCAGACCTGCTCAAGCTGGCTGCCGAGCGGCTCCACTATGTGTTCGGGTACAAGCTGGTAGAACTAGAACCCAAGAGCAACGCCTATATCCTCATCAACGCCCTGGAGCCAGTGGAGGAGGATAGCGAAGTGAGAGGCAACCAGGGAGCGCCCACCACCGGCCTCCTGATGATTATTTTAGGGCTCATCTTTATGAATGGCCACAGCATCCCAGAAACCGAAGTCTGGGATTTTCTACGTCGTTTGGGAGTGTATCCCACCAAGAAGCATTCAGTTTTCGGGGATCCGAAGAAACTCATTACCGAAGACTTCGTGAGACAACGTTACCTGGAGTCCCGACGGATACCCCACACAGATCCTGTGGACTGTGAGCTCCAGTGGGGTCCACGAGCAAATCTGGAAACCAGCAAGATGAAAGTTCTTAAATTTGTGGCCAAAGTCCACAATCAAGATCCCAAGGTCTGGCCCACGCAGTACTGTGAGGCTTTGGCAGATGAGCAAAGCAGGGTCGGACTAAAACCCAGTGGTTCAGCCCCGACTTCTTGAAACAAGTGCTTGGGATTTTCAAACACAAACAGGAAAAATAGGGAACATGGGGGTGGAGGGAGCATATTTCCACAACAATTAAAATATACTATCTTTAAGATGTGTTCAGTTTATTTTTTCTTTTAGAATTGTGATATTTCATAATACTGTGCCAGGCCGTGGTGGCACATGCCCTTAATCCCAGCACTCAGGAGACATAGGCAGGTGGATCTCTGACTTTGAGGCCAGCCTGGTCTACAAAGAGTTCCAAGACAGACAGGGCTACACAGAGAAACTCTCTCTCTGAAAAGAAAAAAAAATGTGTTATTTTTCATTTACAGATATTATTGTGTAGTGTGCGTGTGTGTGTGTGTGTGTGTGTGTGTGTGTGTGTGTGTGTGTGTGTGTGTGTGGTGTGTAAATGCCTATATGTGCCATTCATGTGTAGAGCTCAGAGGAGAATTTATGGGAGCTAGTTGTCACCTTCCACAGTGTAGGATATGGAAATCTGATCGGGCTTGGAGGCAAGCACCCATACCAGTTGAGACATGTCACCTGCTGATGTTCGGGTTTTTTGTCTTGAGACCAGGTTTCCTGTGAAATTCTGGCTGTCCTGGAACTCACTCTGTAGACCAGACTGGCCTCAAGTTCAGAGATTCTCTTGCCTCTGCCAAAGAAGTGCTAGGATTAAAGGCTGTAGCATGATCTCTATCTCTGCTCAGTCATATCACTTCCTGTCTCCACTTCCCTAATGTTGGGATTAAAGGTTTGTGCCACCACTGCCTGGCCTCTGTGGTTGACTAGTGGTTAGCTCCACCCTCTGATCTTCAGGCAAGCTTTATTTGTTAGAGCACAAACATATGTCACCACAAAAGGTATGTGTTACTACCACCTGGCAGGGTTTTTTGGTTTTAGTTGTTTGTTGGGTTTTTGGGGAGTGTTTTGTTTCTATTTTTGTTTATTTTATTTTATTTTTTAATACTAATCCCAGTTCCCCCTCTATCCCCTCTTCCCACTCCCCCAAACCGTCCCCAAACCTTCCTCTCAGCAAGGATAAGGCCTGCCATGGGAAGTCAAAGAAGTCTGTCTCTTTCCCCTGGGTCTAGGCTCAGCAAGGTATCTCTCCATAGGAAATGGGTTCCAAAAAGCCAGTTCATATACTAGGGATAGATCCTGGTCCCACTGCCAGTGGCCTCACAAACTGCCCAAGCCACCCACTGCCTCCTGTTGATGAAAGTTCCTGTCCTGCCAGGTCCTGCCATCCTTCAGCCCCAAATAAGCACACAGAGATATATTAGTTATTAAACTATTGGCTGATGGCTAGGGATTCTTATTGGCTAGCTCTGTCATTTTTTTTTTGTTTGTTTGTTTGTTTGGTTTTTTTTTTTTTTTTTGAGACAGGGTTTCTCTGTGGCTTTGGAGGCTGTCTGGAACTAGCTGTTGTAGGCCAAGCTGGTCTCGAACTCACAGAGATCCGCCTGCCTCTGCCTCCCGAGTGCTGGGATTAAAGGTGTGTGCCACCAATGCCCGGTGGCTAGCTGTCTTAATTATTAACCCATAACTGCTAATCTACATATTTCTACATGGCTTTATCTTACCAGAGAACTCCTGGTGAGTCCTGTCTTCCTGGTTTTTACATGGTGTCTCTTCATGGCCTCCCTCTGTCTTCCTCTCCCTAACCTTCTTCTCCTCCAGTAGCCCCACGTAGGCTTCCTGTATAGCCATCAGCCAATCAGTGTTTTATTCATCAACCAATAAGACAAACATATATACAGAAGGGCATCCCTCATTAGTCAACTGCATTCAGGAGGCCTAGTTTGGTCCTATGCGGGTTCCACACTGTCAGACCAGAGTCAGTGAGCTCCCACTAGCTCAGGTCAGCTGTTTCTGTGGGTTTCCCCATCATGGTCTTGACCACTTTGCTCATATTATCGATCCTCCCTCTCTTTGACTGGACTCTGGGAGCTTGGCCCAGTGGTTAGTTATGGATCTCTGCATCTGCTTCCATCAGTTACTGGATGAAAGTTCTATGATGACAATTATGGCAGTCCTCCATCTGCTTACAAGTGAAGGCCAGTTCAGGCACGCTCTCCACTATTGCTTAGAGTTTGATCTGGGGTCATCCTTGTGAATTCCTGGGAATTTCTCTAGTGCCAGGTTTCTCAATAATCCCATAATGGCTCCCTCTGTCAACATAATTCTTTCTTTGTTCTCCCTCTCTGTCATTCCCCCAGCTCACCCATCCCATTCCCTCTCCTTCCTTCCTCCCCTCTCCCTTTCCACCCTGCCCCCCATGCTCCCAATTTACTCAGATCTTGTCCTTTTCCTCTTCTGGGGGTGTCCATACATGTTACTCTCAGGATCCTCCTTGTTTCCTAACTTCTTTGGGCTTGTGGATTACAGGCTGGTTATCCTTTGCTTTATGTCTAATATTCACTTTTGAGTGAGTACATGCCATGCTTGTCTTTCTGGGTCTGGGTTACCTCACTGGGATTTTTTTTTTTTTAGTTCCATCCATTTGCCTGCAAATTTCAAGATGTCATTGTTTTTTGTTTTTTTTTTTTTGTTTTTTTTTTTTTTTTTACAGCTGAGTAATACTCCATTGTGCAAATGTACCACATTTTCCTTATCCATTCTTTGGTTGAGGGGCATCTAGATTGTTTCCAGGTTCCGGTTTTTTAATAGTGCTGCTATGAACATAGTTGAGCAAATGTCCTTGTGGTATGAATGTGCATCTTTTGGGTATATGCCCCAAAGTGGTGTTGCTGGGTCTTGAGATAGATGTTATTCCCAATTTTCTGAGAAATCGCCATACTGATTTCCAAAAGGCTGTAACAGTTTGCAGTCTTGCCAGCAATGGAGGAATGTTCCCTGTACTCTACAACTTCTCCAGAACAAACTGTCATCAATATTTTTGATCTTAGCCATTCTGATCAGTGTAAGATGGTATCTCAAGTTGTTTTGATTTGCATTTCCCTGATGGCAATTCTTTAAATGTCTTTCAGCCATTTGAGTTTCTTCTGTTGAGAATTCTGTGTTTAGATCTATGCCCCATTATTTTTTTGTGTTTTCAAGATATGGTTTCTCTGTAGCTTTGGAGGCTGTCCTGGAACTTGCTCAGTAGACTAGGCTGGTCTCGAACTCACAGAGATCCTATCTCTGCCTCCCAAGTGCTGGGATTAAAGGCGTGAGCCACCACCACCTGGCAATCATTTTTTAGTTGGATTATTTTGTATTTTGGGTCTAGTTTCTTGAGTTCTTTGTATATTTTGGAAATCAGCCCTCTGTCAGATGTGGGTTTTTGGTTGGTTTTGTTTTGTAGTTTGGTTTTTGGTTTTTTCGAAATAGGGTTTCTCTGTGTATCTCTGGCTGTCCTGGAACTCACTCTGTAGACCAGGTTGGCCTCAAACTCAGAGATCTGCCTGCCTCTGTCTCCCTGAGTACTGGAATTAGGTGTGTAGCACCATCGCCTGGCTTTTAGTTGTTATTTTTAAATAGGGTCTCATGTAACCCAGTTGATCTCAAACTTCTGATCCTCCACCTCCTGAAAGCTGCAAAGTGTCAGACATGATGGTTACACACCTGTAATCATAGCGTTCTGGAGGCAATGATGGGAAAATTAATGAGGGTTGGAAGCTAGCCTGAGATACATAGTTTCAGGCCAGGCTGGGCTACATAGCATTACCCTGTCTCACAAAACCAAACATTAATAATAATAGACCATTTTATTTTAAATATTTTTATTTTTAAATTCTGCGTCTGTGTGTGGGTTTATGCATATGAATTCAGGAACCCTCAGAGGCCAGAAGAGGGTGTTCGGCCCCCTGGAGCTGGAGGTACAGACAGTTAGTAGCTGCCTAATATGGATGGTGGAACCCTGGTTCTCTTTATTTTTAATTTTATTTAATGTGTATGTATGGGTGTTTTGTCTGTATGTGTAGTGTTCACATCTGGTTCAGGAGACAGGATTTCCTGGAACTGGAGTTACAGATAGTTGTAAACTACCATATGGGTGGTGGGATTGAACCCCAGAGCAGTAGTGCTCTTAACTGCTGAGTCATTTCATGAGCCCCAAAATAAAAATTTTAAAGTAGAGCAACAGGAAAATCCACATAATTATCCTGAGAAAGTGAGAGAAATTTGACAAAAATCAGCAGGGATCTAAGGAGCATCATTAATATGATAAAAGGTAGGTAAATACACATTCTGTGTGGTTATTAGTTTTTTTTTGTTTTTGTTTTTGTTTTTTTTTGGTTCTTCGAGACAGAGTTTCTCTGTGGCTTTGGAGGTTGTCCTGGAATTAGCTCCTGTAGACCAGGCTGGTCTCAAACTCACAGAGATCTACCTCCCTCTGCCTCCTGAGTGTTGGGATTAAAGGCGTATGCCACCAATGCACGGCTGTGGTTATTGTTTTTTTAAAATGTATTGCTTGTATGTATGTGTGTACATGGGAGTGTCATGTGGAGTCATTTCTTTTCTTCCCCCTTTACATGGTTCCATCAAGCTTTCAAAACAAGTGCCCAGGCACTGAATTTTGAAAGCATTTTTTTCTTTAAGTTATTTTTTGGTTTTATTTTACTCTGTGCATTTGAGTGGTTTGCTTTCATGTATCTATATTCACAGTGTGCCTGCCTGGTGCCATTGGGAGGTCAGAAGAGGGTGTTAGAACCCTTGGAATTGGAATTACAAATGGTTATACATATGTCAGTGCTAGGAACTGAACCAAGTCAGTTAGCACACTTTACCTTGAGCCATATCTCCATCTATAGCGCCCCCTTTACTTTTAGGGATTTTTTTTTTTTTTTTTTTTTTTTTTTTTTTTGAGACAGGGTTTCTCTGTAAAACAGCACTAGCTGTCCTGGAACTCATTCTGTAGACCAGGCTGGCCCTGAACTCACAGAGATCTGCCTACCTCTGCCTCCCAAGTTCTGGGATTAAAGATATACACCACCACCACCAGCCAGCCACGGCAACTCCTATAAAGGAAAACATTTAATTGGAGAGATTTACAGTTTCAGAGG